TCAAACATTATAAATTTTATTGAATAAAAAACATAATTTCTCACCGTAGTTTGAAGTGGAGCAAAAACAGCAAATCAAGCACGTAACAGAATAACCAGAATATGTTCACTGAGGTTCTCCAGACGACAAAATGCAAAATTCATAGTTAACAAATTCAAACATAACAACAAAGTAAAAAGTTGGTTTCCAACTGCTAAGAACACTACTTCAAGTGGCAAAATAATTTTTACCTCTTAAGATCAAAATGCTCTACTTGGATGTAGAATTCCTGCTAAAAACCCTCCATAGAGTACCATATCGAATTATCGACGTGTAAATGTACGGTAGTAATAGACAAGTCCAGTAGCTAGCCCCTTGAATGCAAAAGTAATGTCTCCTTAACCAATTCAGACATTCGATAATGCCGCCTTCCATTTAGGAAGAAACTAAAATTTTGAAATCATAAATTCTACAACGAATATTGTCTGCCCATTGTAACAGAAATTAAGTAAAACTAAAAGCTGAGTACAGGAATTGCTTCGAAATCCTCCAGAAAACATCTTCACAAATTTTCAATCAAACAAAATCCAAATAAATATTACAAAGGTAGTGTAAAAGACATTGTAGGAATCATCAACTTCTGAGTTCGAGGGGTGTTTGTTCTGAACTTTCTCCAAAAGTACGAGTAAAAGAACACTACAAACCTTTTTGGTTGGGCATCATGCACTCAGTCAATCTTCACGGACGAGTAGATTAGCCTCGTGAACCATAAACACGCGTAGAAGCCTATCGTGCCCGTCAGCACAAAGAAAGCGTACGAACCAATCAGCATGTACCCAAAGTACAACACTCCCGAGACGGGTTTTGTTATATTGAGCTTTGTGAAGAAGTAGAAAACCGCGTAAAGGAAGAGGTACAGAGCCGATGAGCCTGAGGTTAAGTACGACCTCCACCACCAAAGGTAGTCCTCACTGCAAAGCTGGAAATAGCACAGCACAATACTAATCTCGGCACAGGTAACAATCAGGATAATGAAAACAAGGAACAGGAAACCAAAAATATAGTAGAACTGGTGTAGCCAGATGGAGGTCAGTATGAAAAAGAGCTCAATGAAAACAGCTCCAAAAGGAAGTATGCCCCCAATCAAGATTGAGAACAGCGGGTTCATATACCAAGCCTGCTCAGGTATCTGTCTCGGGATTTTATTGGTTTTCACTGGGGCCTCGATAGCTGGCTTCCTAAAACCAACATAACTACCCACAANNCGAGAGGGACTGAAATGCCGAACCACATGAAGACCAACACAAACATGGTCCCGAACGGGACAGCCCCAGAAGATGCCTCACCCCAGATCAAAGCATTTAACACGAAAAATATGGCAAACAGGATCCCAGGGAACATAAAAGCAGTCTGTAGAGTGATTTTCTTCCATTCAGTGCCTTTAAACATCTTATAGAGACGGGCAGAGGCGTACCCGGCAAAAATGCCCATGAAAACCCATAAAAGCAGCATAGCCGTCATTAGACCTCCACGGTTAGAAGGGGACAGAAATCCAAGGGCCGCGAAAATCATGGTGACAAGTATCATTCCCAAAAATTGAACGCCAGTTCCGACATATACACAGAGAAGGTTCGAGTTTGTTGGGGGCCTGAATACATCCCCGTGGACTAATTTCCAGCCGGTTTCCTCCTGAGCCTCCTCTTGGGTCTCGAGTTGGTTGTATTTGGAGATGTCACGGTACAGAGTACGGAGCATGATCATGGCAACCATGCCTGAAAGGAAGAGGACGATCATCAATGAGTTGACAATCGAAAACCAATGGATCTGGTCATCAGCCATATAGAGGTACGTGTCCCATCTGGAAGCCCACTTGATTTCGCTTTCCTACAAAATGACGATTAATTTGTTCTTACCAATCAATCACATGATTCAATCTATCCACATCAAGAAGAGAAGGTTACCTGGAAATCAACGTCGTAAGAGAAGATGATTTCCTTCTTATCCTCAACGTCCTGGGGAGAATCAGAAGTGGTCACAGTGCGCTTTGCATGGGGATCACATGTCGTTAGACGTGATTTGTCATCCCATTTTCCCTCATATTGATGATTGACACTGAAAACACAATGGAATATAAGATCAAAATATTAAAAGACAAAGATGAGACACGTCATAGTATTGGGCAATGGCAATGTATTTTTACCTGAATGGCTTGACTTCAAATCCCACAATTCTTGCCGAGTCAGTTTCCTCGTCCTTGTGGTACTTAACGGTAAATGTGAGATGATTGTGGATGAAATGCTTCTCCTCTTTTCTCTAGCAAATTTTTATTTTTACAAAAAAGAATGTTAAAGCACAACAGAAATTTCAGATTAAGCTGATCATTTGGAAAGTGACTTTTGCAGCAGCAATTCACTCCAATAAATTATTAGCAATACTTACTCCTTCATACTGTCCTTTAAAACCAACAGGGAACCCGTGTTGATAGACTATGGCGTCCATATCAGGTCTTCTAAAGGGCATAACGAGAGGGAGATTATCTAAAATCCTGTTGAGAAAACCACAAAAGCATCAGGTGACAACTATGCATGGCACAAATTTGAAATGGGATAAAATTTTTCATCACCATGACTTACATGTTCACGCGATAATCATCATCGATCTTTTCTTTTAATTCTTTTGCCTCTTTGGCATTTAGTGTAGTACGACAAACAACATTGCACATCTGCGCCTCTCGCATTTTAAACTGCACGGATGAATTTCAGGAATAAGTTTGTTCAGTGATGCATGACCTTTAACAATTGACTGAATGCAAGGACGCATTGGACATAAGTCATTGTAAAAGGATTTTTGTTCGTCGAAAAGGAATAAAAAAAAGAAAGAGTGAGAAGGCAAGAAATACAAACCACATAGGGAGAGTTCTCAATACGATCACCACGAAGAACCTCCCCAAGATTTTCAGCACTGTCCACGATTTTCTCTGGTTTGCAGTAAGGAAGCGAATAGTACGAATAAGGAAGTTGAGTTTTAACAGAAGTTAGTTTGTTCACTTTCACCTTCAGAAGATCACCCTGCACCAAGATAAGCAACATTACACTAT